CATCCATCCATCCATCCATCCATCCATCCATCCATCCATCCATCCATGCATCCTCTTTACCTGCTTCCTTTTCAGGTATAATGTGTAAGATGTTCATGGATTAAGGCAAAAATAATGACTTAATAATGCCAGATCTTTTGAAAGTTTGCAGTATAATATTTCAAATTTAAAATAAAAAAAATAAACTGATATTTGCTGGAAGACTTCAAACTCAAAGTGGATTTAAAGTACACTGCTTTTCCACAGACATGGCATACAAAAGGTTAATGACTCTGGCAATATTAAAATAATTTCATGATAATTAAATAATCTACACAAACCAGCAATGACCTCTCTGTCTCCTGAGGTTGACCCTGAATCTTTAGCGCCCTTTGAGTTTTTTGCTCGGTTGCTGACCCGACATTGACCTGCTCTGCCAGAATGAGAGAAGGAACTGGTTCCTGTGGGGCTTGCTGAATCATCTGAATAACATTACATCTGCTTGGAGATGAAAATGTATCTGCAAGTGATGACTACCTGTGTTAACCCTCTGCCAGCCCACAGTGAACAGAGTTCTTGTCTGGATGAGGTAGATGGCGATGGGGCTGCCGTTGTCTCTGCCGGGGTTCCAGGCCAGCTGTGCCGTGCTGTCTGTCACCTCCTCCACTGTCACTGAGTCTGGAGGGCTGGGGGGGCCTGGATTACAAACAGGAATAATCACTGTGAGGCACTGCACTACATGCAGAGACACAGACGATGCTTCAGAGAAAAGATGTATATCCGAGCGGCACACACAACCGATAATAAATATACCGACCTACACCATAACACTGCACGGCTTTTAGGTCTTGAGCTCAACAAGACAACATTTTTTAAACTCTTCCATTTGAAGGATTGCCCTTTACAAGGAATTACAAGTTAATTCAGGATTTATCTGCCAGTATCCACGCAACATGTAGTCCCTGCCTTTCATGGTCGTTGTGGTAACGGATCGATTGAACAGCAGAGGTGCAGGGAGTCAAATTAAAAGGTAAAAGACGACAAAGGGCCCCACCGCCCCAAGGAACCAAAGTTTTATCATTTATTTGAATTATCCCACTAATTAGGCGGTGTGATGTTTTACTTTAGCGCTGCGTTTTAATGAATGCGCCGGCTCATCAGAAATAATAGACCACTGGAGAACCGTGGAACAGACTGCAGAATAATAACGCCCGCTAGCTCTGCTCACAGAAGTGGTTCCTAATGTGAAAGTAAATATTCTAATGATTAAACGATTATTTTAATGAACAATCAATGTTGTGGAAAAACAAACGTGGCTGCATTTACAGCTCATGTTGTATGTGCTATAACTGCACTGAACGTTGTTTTATGAGTCCCCATCTTCTTGTTTACTGGAGTTTTGAGCCTATTGCCTTCATATGTTTGGCCCTAAAGTCCTGGCTTTAGAGATATTGATCGTTTTAAAACTCATTAGTGGTTCTTGATAAGAAAAACCTTTAATACAGTGCCCTCATTAATACATAATAATGGGGTTCACAATCTAAGATCAATTCCTTATCCTCTTAATTGTATTTCATTGGCTAAAGGAAATAGGATGCCAAGTGTGTTCAAATAATCGCCTGCTAACTTGGTCAGATGTGTGTCAGTTTTGGTTTTTATCTGTAACTCAGCACAGAGAGCTTAATTTGAACTCATGTGTGTTAAACAAGCTTACATGACTGTTTTGAATATCAGTAGGAACACAATAAACTGTGCAACAAATGTACAACGTTTTGTTTACTGTCACGAGACGTACCTTCCTTCCTCACTGTTTTTCGGGATAATGATAGTGATGCAACTAGCATGAGTGCTCATCAAGTGGTTGGAACGTTATTGACCATGATGTTTTCTTTCCACGGTGACCTTCTACATAACCACAATCATCATCTAGAGGAGTGTTTGTGAGGCATTGTGAAGTGGCATCTAAAGGACTAACTGCTGCCATTGTTAAAGACAAGGACCCAGATGATCACTCAATAGTTTTTTTGTGTGTCAGAAGCGATTATCATTGACCTTCAGTGCAACAAGAGGACAAAACTGAACAGGACTGGAACACCCTGAAATATGAATGAAACACCTAATATTTGTATGATTGCAAAAATACATTTGTTGAAAACACTAATAATAGCTTTTAGTGTGATTGTGACCATAAATGTCAGCATGTGTTCTACTTTAAATACAAAAGATTGTCACTGCTGAGCACATATACTCTATACTTATATATTACTGTATATTACTTTACTGATCAACTCGAAATGAGCGCATTTTTAATAAATATACAATTAATGCCCATTGCTTAAAGATTCAATACTTTCTATAGATTTTACTGAGTTACAAAGACAATAGAGTAGTCCCTTGTTTATCGTGGAGGATCCGTACCCTGAAGCCCCGCGATAAGTGAAAACCGTTAAGTAGGAATAGTAGTGCAAGTAGTTTTTATATATAAAAGACGTTTTAAACCCTTCCCACATTCTTGCAATATTCTAAACAATGTTTCTAAACTCTAAACGCTCTAAAAGAGCACAGCATGTCATGATTTCAGTTCTCTGCCTCCAGCTGCACTCTCGGCCACGCCCACTTCTCCGTTCTGCATCAGCTGATTAGCTGCAGGAGGAAGGTTCTCCCACAGTTGTGGGCTGCACACAGGTGCTAAATAATAATAAAAAATATATATTTTAAATAAGAAATCCATGCCGATCATGCGGCTCATCCATCAATCAGCCAGTTGTGTGTCATGTCCAATCTTACTTTGAATAACCGTGATAGAGCGTGTCCTCGAAAAAAGAACCGTGAAGTAGCGAGGGACTAGTGTACATTGGATAATATATTTGAAAAAAATATAAGTCAAATAACTTTCTACTTACAATAAATAGATTATTAGAAAATCATCTAATCAAAACCGGTATTAAAAAATTGCTAAAAATATTTACATTATTGAAATTTGATATCGATACTACTGATTTGCCATGTTCTGAATGTTTGAGAATGTAGACCAGCACAATAATTCAAATTTGTACAGAACAGGTCTAAATTTATGTACCTCTTTATAAATCAATTAAATTAAATTAATAATTTCACAACCACTCGTTGTTTTGCTTTTTTGACTCTTCGAAAAGTTCACCATCATGAGTTTACAACAAAATAACAAAAGCTCACAAGAATTAATAAAAGTGTTGAAAATAGATCAAGCAGTTACTGTACAGTCAAAAAATAGTATTTTTGCACGTAACTGACTATTTTAATAACTAATAATTGTCCAGTGCCACAACCAAAACAGTTTGATTCTCCAAAATAAATCGAGTGAGAAAATGTTTTATAGTAATTTTTGGTATTAAACTTTTTTTATGGATAGCTTCTATATTGTATGTGTTTATTATGTTGTGGTGTTTTGTCTAAAAATTGTTTCTTGTGTCCTTTTTGGTTCACAATAGCGTTAGGATACAAACAAGGCAGTGCATGCAATATGTATGCATGCGACCACTGGCGTTTTATTAAATGTCTGTGGTGATCACAAATAGACATTTTTCCCTCCATGGCTGGTTTTTCTACCCAGCCTCATGATTTTTTGAAACCATTCAATCCAAACTATGAGACATTCAAGACAGCTGCCGTGAGCAGGGAGTGTAAATAATGCACAGCCTGAGTCACAATCAAGATTGTCTCCAGTCAGTTCTAGGCCAATCCATTTTCCCTGCCATGTTATTGCTTCTACTTGGAGAAACAGCATTATTTCCTCTTAGCCCTCTGCGCTCATTACAGCAATTTGCTTTGAACATCTTAAACATGCCAAGCAGAATCACTGTTGGGCATCCTTAGAAGATAAAGATATGGATCCAACCTTTTCAAACCTCAACACTCAAATCATCCCTCACCTCATCTGACATTTAGCATATTTGTGTAGTGTCAATTTGCTGGGCTATTCAGCGTATTGATCTCGACCACAAACAGCCCCCCTCTTTGGCAGCAGCATTGAAACACTGCTGCTCCTCAAAAGAGGAAACAAAAGTTATTTTGTTCTGTCAAGTGTAACTTTCAACAACGGCGTCTCTCAGGAGCAATGCATACTGCATGAACACACAGAGACGGCGCTCAGCACGTCTCGCTGTCAAACACATTGCAGCGACGTTGAAAATTGGTCATTAAGAGGAGACGGAGAAAAGAACATATCCTAAAAATATTATATTTGCTGCTCCTGGAATTTCAACATGCTTTGTCATGTTTTGACTTCCACAAACATCTTCTCATGAAATATTAAAGAGAAGGACGTCTACTCTGTTTGATGGAATGACACAACTATTACTAGAAAAAATGAATTCTAATGAATTCCATAATAAATGTCAAGGAATGTTGCAATCATTGCTCTAAAACGACCCAAGTATTGTAGTCTAATGCACAAACTAACTGATGTAACACAGTTTGGTGGCTCTTAGAGCCAACAAAAAATATATACTTTTACTCAAGCTACATATATCATCCTCTGCACTGTAAAGCAGGGGTGTCCAAACATTTTTATAGGTGGCCCAGACTGTCTAGATAAAAGGAATTGTGGGCCAGAAAAATGTGAATTGAAGAAAATAAAAAAATAAATAAAAGCGTGATTTTATTTCCCCCTCATTTTTAAACTCTCACCAACTTGAACAATATTTTGGAGAAAGGCTAAAACTTTAGTTTAAATTATTGTAGATCCAGAACATTAGGAGCCTCATTAACATTAAC